GGCCCTTCTTCCTGGTGTGAGTCGTTCGGGCTCTTCGTGGTGTGAGTCGTTCGGGCTCTTCGTCCTGGTGTGAGTCGTTCGGGCTTCTCGTGGTGTGAGTTGTTCGGGCCCCTCATCCTGGTGTGAGTCGTTCGGGCCCTCCTCCTGGTGTGACTCGTTCGGGCTCCTCGTGGTGTGAGTCGTTCGGGGCCCGCGTCGTGGTGTGAGTCGTTCGGGCTCCTCGTGGTGTGAGTCGTTCGGGCGCCTCGTCCTGGTGTGAGTCGTTCGGGCCCCTCCTTGTGGTGTGAGTCGTTCGGGCTCTTCGTGGTGTGAGTCGTTCGGGCCCCTCGTCCTGGTGTGAGTCGTTCGGGCTCCTCGTGGGGCCTCTTCGGGCCTCTTGGGCCTCTTGGGGCCTCGTGGGGGCCTCTTGGGGGCGGGGGCCTCTGGCGCCTCGTGGGGCCTCTTGGGGCCTCTTGGGGGCCTCTTGGGGGCCTCTTGGGGGCCTCTTAGGGCCTCTTGGGGGCCTCTTGGGGGCCTCTTGGAGGCCTCTTGGGAGGCTCCTGGGGGCCTCTTGGGGCCATCTTGGGGCCTCTTGCGACCTCCTCAGAAGCGCAAAGGAGCGCTGCCCCCTGAGAAAGACAAAATGAGCCCAAAACCTTCGTAAAATCAATGATTTTGCTATGAAGGAAGATGAGCGCGGCCCCCTCAGGAGGCCAAAATGGGGCCAAAACCGTAGTAAAATCAATGTTTTCGGCTTCAAAGACGAGTTGAGGGGCCAAACTACCTCCCCCCCTCGGGACCAGAATCCTCGTGAGGGTCGTTGTTTTTTGGCCCTCCCAGGAGTCGAAAAAAGACCTCCTTGATCCCACTCGGCCCGCCCTCTCCAGGTCCAGGGGAGGGGGTAGGGGGAGGGGTAAACCCCTCCCCGAAGGGGAAGATAGGGGGTTAGGGGGTTGAGAACAGAGAGAGCTCTCTAAACCACTCACGCCCAAAGGGCTGGTGGGATTTGGGGAAGGATACGCAGAGGCTTGGCGGCAGATTGGGAAGCGGCCCACCCTTTGGACAGCATATGGGGCTCCGGGTCCGGTAGGTATTCGTCGGACTGCGCATGTTCACTCAACATGGAAACGGAGATCGCGCACGAGCTAGAGGAAGACAGCTTCACGGTCTTCATAACCTCCAACCTCGCTCTCTTCGTGCCTTTGCGAGCCTCTCCTACTCCTACTCCTCTTCTCAGGGTATTTTAGCAGGGTGCTCGCTGGCGACAACAATGCTGCAGGTGTTCTTGTATCGCAGTTTGATTAGCGTCCAAAAGCTGTATCCCAGTGTCACCTCGTGATTTGATCGATGACGTGAGCTTCACTTGGACGGGGAGTCGGTTGGAGACTGGGAGCTGGGGGGAGGATGAATCTCGAGATCTAGCTTATGCAGTGCACGCGTTTAGCCATGACGTCAGACCTCTCGGCTAGATCATCCAGACCACCAAGAGTGGCTTGATAGCCAACACGTCTCGTGGTCGTGCTCGGTTTGCGAAGCACGTGCAGACGCTAGGACTTCGTTCCAAGAAGGTTATGCGTAACCTGGGTCACGAGATGCATGGCACTCGTGCGTTTCGGATTCAGGAAAAGGCCCAGTTGCGCACACTCCAGGCAAAACGGCGCAAGATCTGGGGTCTAAAGAACGCTGCGGGCGAAGTTGTCAAGACCCTCTGGTGCACGGGGCTCCTCCCAGCAGTTGGCCACGGTGGGGGGGGGCTGTCGGGGATCGCGGATTCTGGTCTGCGGGAGCTTCGGACGCTTGCTGGAGGGATGGCAGGCGCCAAGCCGAAGACATGTCTAACTCTTCATCTGTCTACTCAGCCAGCTGATAAATTCGACCCCGTTTTTGATTGTACAGTTCCCACTGTTGTGCGGTATGCCGCCTTCCTTTAGGATGGCAGGATTGCGCCCAGCCGCCTGTACCGCGCGCGGTGCAAGATCAAGGAGCGCTTTGATAACCGCGCTTCGTGGGCTGGTGCCCTGAGGCCGATTTCTGCCGTCTGGCTGTCTTTGCTCAGGGTGGGGTGGGGCATGGTCTCCCCCACTGTTCTCCGTTCGGACCAAGGGGAGTTGGTCGACCACCTCCAGTTTTGCCCGTGGGACGTGCGCAGGTTTGTTGAGGAAGGAATTCGTCGGTGGCAGTCGGCGCGCATCTTGGAGCACCTCCCTAATGGTTCGCAGGCGTCGTGCTGGAGGCGAGCCATGCGCCGCTCGGTGCTCAAAATACGCGACGCGAGCAGGAGGGGAGCTCTGAGGGCCCTCTGGGCCGCCGGCGTGTGGACACCAGTTCGTCTACATTCTATCCAGCTCCGCCCGACCCCCGAATGTTTTGTCTGCCGTCACTGCCCGGGGACCGAGGCCCACCAGTGGTTTGGATGCCCCGCGGTCTTAGATGTCCCCGAAGATGAGCGGCCGCCCGATGATGTCCTGGAGCATCGGGAGGCCATGATTTCGAATCTCAGCAGCCCGCTCGACGGAATCGAGACGTTCTATCTTAGCTTTGGGCTGCCGCCCATGCCGCCTTTTTCCTGCTGCCCCTGCGAGCTCGCAGCCAGATCTTGGGTGGGGGGATTGGCGCGGAATGTGGGGGCGGAGGTGTACACGGACGGGTCTGGGTCAGCCTCCTCGCTTCCAGGTCTCACTCGATGCGGTTGGGCGGTCGTGGAGCTCGACGCGTCGGGGATCATCCTCTGAGCGGTTTTTGGAGCGCTCCCAGGCCCAGTCCAGACTGTCCCTAGGGCTGAATACGATGCTTGCCTGATGGCGGTCAAGTTTGCCAGTTGTTCGGTGCACATCGTCTCTGACCATCTGTCTGCTGTCAAGACGGGCTCAGCATGGGGGGCCCATAACGAGTCGGTTCGCTCCCGGCATGTTTCGGTCTGGAGCTCCATGCATGTTGCCAGTGGTAGCTCGGGCGAGCACCCTACGTTTCAGTGGGTGCCCGCACATCGTCCTGCTGAAGATGTACTGGCCGATTTTTCCGCAGATGTTCTGGATTTTGTTGGCAATGAGTGGGCTGACCACTTTGCGGAAACAGGCGCTAGGTCTCATATGGTTGCCCAGGTGCTCCATGACGTCCATCGGCAGCGTTTAGTCGAGGCCCAGAAGGACGCCCGAGTGTTTTCATGGATGGCCTGCACAGTGGCACGGAGGGTCGATGAGCTCCAGCCGCGCGCTGGTGCACCAGCGCCCAGACGAGCACCCCCTCCTGCCCCAATTGTGGCCCTTGAGACCCATGAGTTCATGGTTTGCGACCGGCTTTCTGAACATCGTTGTCGCGTCTGCAACCATTGGGCTCGGACCCCTGCCTCCGTGAAGGCGCTGCGCGCGCGTCCATGCGCGCCCTCCCCTTTGCAGCGTGCCTCGGCGGCCAGGTACTTCAATCTCACTCCTGAGACCTACCGCCGCCCCTCGGCCGCAGTTGCCGAAGCCGTGCGTGCTGCCCGTGTCCTCGAGGAGGCGTCTGGCCCCGAGGCAGGGCACGTCGAGGGGGAGCGGGTTGATGTCGTCGCCGTCGGGGGGCTCGACGGGGAGGTGGATTTGTGCAACGAATTGGGCCACGTTGACGAGAGGTTCGGCTCGGTGGTCGTCTGTCTTGCGTGTGGTGCCTATTCCGTTGCCGGCGGCCGCAACAAGAAGTTGCAGCAAACCAGATGCAAAGGGCATTCGGACGTTACGTTCACTCGCGCCAGCGAGGAGATGCATTTCTCTCGTGCGATGCGCGGTCTTCATCCTCGCACTGGTGCCTCTTGCCCCTAATGCCACCCTCGACGCCTAGTCTCCTCTGTTGGCTTGGCCGATGAGGTGGGGACGCAGCTGTTGAGGAAGAACTGTGCGTTGCAGCGAGCTTCATGCCCTGCAGTGCAATTTCTGTGTTTCACGCCGCTGGGGCGGGTCCGTTAGCTCGGACTCGCGCTTCCATCGCTCGGTACCTCCTCCTTCTCCTCCTCCCCTCCCCCTCTCCCCCTCTCCCCCCTCTCCTCCTTCATACTCCTCCTCCTCCTCCTCCCTCCTCCTCCTCCTCCTTCTCTCCTCCCCTCCTCCTCTGCCCCCTCCCTCCTCCATCTCATCCTCCTCCTCCCTCTCCTCCTCCTCCTTCTCCTTCCCTTCCTCCTCCACCTCCTCCTCCTCCTCTTCTTCCTCTGCCCCCTCCTCCTCTTTCTCCTTCACTTCCTCCTCCATCTCCTCCTCCGTCTCCTCCATCTCCTCCTCGGGGGTGAGTTCGAAGTGGAACGGAGGCCCCCCGCCGGGAAATCGATTTCGGTGTCGTGTCGTGCGCGCGGGCGAGACGAAGCTGCGCGGGCGGGCGAGAGGACCGAAACCGCAGTATCTATGTAGGGGCAACTGAGCTGAATGCCTCCATGCCCCCCGGTTGGCCGCGGTGTGTCGTGGTATCCAGTGGTGTCCCGTGGTGCGGTGTCCCGTGGCGCGGGGTCCCGTGGTGTCCCGTGAGCTCGACTGTGAGATCGATTCTGAGAACGATAGTGAGGTCGATAGACGAATCGAATCGATAGGTAGATGGAAATGAGGTACATATATAGATAGACATTCAAACATGTGCTCCGTAGTGTCCAACTGGCTTCCGCCGAAGCCGATCCGACCCCGATCGCCAACCGAAAGCCGAACTCCCCCCCACAACCACCTTATCACCCGAAGGGTAGTCGCATGGGTTGTTTACGAAACCTCTTTGTCTCTGCTACCTGACCCCTTTTCGCCCTTCCTCTCGGCGGCGAGCCTGGGGGGAAGTGAGAAGGAGAAGGCGCTCTCAGAGGGCCTCGCGCCTTCTGAGAAGTGCCTGTTGCTGTCTCCGGGGAAGGCTTAGAACACTTTTCTGAGGCCCAGGGGACTTCCGAGCCTTCTGAGAGAGCCTTCTCCTTTTCACTTCCCCCCCGGGCTCGCCGCCCCTCCTCTTCTCCTTCGATGACGGCGACCCCGTGCCCGAGCCCCCCGCGAACGCCGGCCGCGGCCCCCGCCGGTGCCCAGGGGTGCTCCCGCGCGGCGGGGGCCACGACGCGGACAGCCTCCGCGGCGGCGCGGCCGAGCGGGGCGCGGGGTCCATGCAGCTCTCGCTGCGTGAGGAGGACGGGGTGCCGACGTGGCTCTGCCGCACCTCTTGCTGCTCCATCCCTTTTTCTCCCCCAGGTCCATAGGCCTCCCAGATGGGGTCGGAGCAGATGGGGGTCGGAGGGTCGCGCCGCACCGCCGACGCATCGCCTATGCGGCCTTGATGCGGAGCCCGATTTGCTTCACGCCGACGTCGCCGATGCACTGCTTGCTCCTCTCGAAGAATATAACGCCATAAACATGAACTGTTGGCGCTCCGCGCGGATTTTTGGGATCCGCGCTGGGCCCCCCGGCGGCGCCTCCAGCGCCGCACTTGGCGCGCTCCGCGCGCCCGGGAGGTGGGTCCAGCGCAGATCCAAGAAATCCGTGCGGAGCGCCAGAAGTTCATGTGTATGTAATTTGTTGTTGTGATTATTATGGTGGTGGTGATGATGATGATGATGATGATGATGATGATGGTGGTGATGATGATTATCATTATTATTATTACTATTATCATTCGTATTATTATTATTAGTATTATTATTAGTATTAGTATTTTTCTTATTATTGTTAATATTACTTTAAATATTATTACTATTATCACGATTATTATCATTATTCTTATTCTTATTATTATTTTCATGTTTAATAGTGTTATTAGTATTATTATTGATATTATTTTTTTTTTAAAATATTAGTATTATTAGTCTTATTAGTATTAAGTTTAGTATTCGTATTAGTATTATTATTAGAATGAATATTAGTATTAGTACTAGTATTAGTATTCGTATTAGTACTAGTATTGGTATTATCATTATCCTCCTTCTTCTTAATATTTTTATTAGTATTATTATATCCTCCTCCATCCCTTTCCTCCTCCCTGTCGCAGCCCCAGACGTGTGGGTAGGGCGGGCGGGGCGTTTCGCTTGAGACGGCCTCGCCATTCCTGATCTTGAACAGGCCCGGTTCCCGCCCGATCCGATCCGATTTCGATGCGCCCCTGCTTCCGATCCGAGTCCTCTGGCCTTTTCCGGTTTCGATTCCGATCCGGCGCGCGGATGACGATTTTGGTTCCGATCCGGCGTTTCCGATTATCGTCGATTCCGTTTTTGATTCCGCAGGGGCTGGGAGGGGGAGAGGGAGGATGCGGAGGAGGAGGAGGAGGCGGAGGCGGAGGCGGAGGCGGAGGCGGAGGCGGCGGGGGAGGGGAGGAGGAGGAGGAGGAGGAGGAGGAGGACGAGGAGGAGGAGGAGGAGGAGGACGAGGAGGAGGAGGAGGAGGAGGAGGAGGAGGAGGAGGAGGAGGAGGGGGGGGGGCAGAGGAGGAGGAGGAGGAGGAGGAGGAGGAGGAGGAGGAGGAGGAGGAGGGGGGGGGCAGAGGAGGAGGAGGAGGAGGAAGAGGCAGCAGAAGAAGACGAAAAAACATAAAAGTTTTAATAACTAGCAACTATAGAATAACATAATAGTAATGCTTCTAATTATGGTAGTAATGACAACAATACGAATAACAATAGTAATAACAACAGTAGTAGTAATAACAATAATAAACACTGAAACGAATACGAATACGAATTCCACGAATAATAATTATAATACGACTATTATTAATACTACTAGTAGTACTACTCCTACTACCACTACTACTAATAATAATAAGTATAATGGTATTGATGATAATAATGATGATGAGAATAAGAAGAATAAGAAAAAGGAAGAGGAAGAGAAAGAGAAGAGGAAGAGGAAAATGAATAATAAGACGAATACGAAGCATAAGCAGAGGCAGAGGCAGAAATGAAACAGAAGCAGAAGCAGAAGAATAATAATCAACATAAGAAGAGAGGGGAGGGAGGAGGAGGAGGAGGGCGGAGGAGAAGGAGGAGGAGGAGGGCGGAGGAGGAGGAGGAGGACGAGTAGGGCGGAGGAGGAGCAGGAGGAGGAGGAAGAGGAAGAGGAAGAAGAAGAAGGAGAAGGAGAAGAAAAGGAAGAAGAAATAGAGGAAGAAGAAGAGTAAGAAGAGGAGGAGGAGGGGGAGGAGGAGGAGGAGGAGGAGGAGAATAAGGAAGAGGAGGAGGAGGAGGAGGAAAAGGAGGTCGAGGGGGATGTCAGAGAAGATGGGGCCACAAAGAGGATCAGGGAAGAACCCGCAGCGCTTCATCCCTTTTCGCGCGCACGCGCCGAAAGGATTTCGCTCGAACGGCCGCAGTTTTCGCGCGAACCGTTTTCGCGCGAACGGCGCACTCTCCGGGACCCCCCCAGGGACCCACCCGGAATCCCCAATGGATCCCCACAGGATCCTCTTGGGACCCCCCCCCTCCCGCGGGGAAGGGACCAAAGGGAAGGGGCTTCCCTTCGACTCCACTCCGACATTGCTCGATTCGCCTTGGATGGCGCGCTTGAGGAGGAGGGCCCAGAGAAATGGAACGGAGGACGTCGGAGACGACGACTCGAACGGAGAAGCCCGGCTCGAACGGGGAAGCCCCTCACACACGCCGACAGGGTCGGCGGATTCAGACGCCGCGCTTTCGACACCCAGGAATCACGCTCTCGGTGTGGATTCCCGCACGATTTATTCTGGAATCCCGACATCGTTTGAGGCTTCCTCGCGATTCATGCAGGACGCACGCGTCAGCAACCCGCCTGCCCCGTGTCCCTTCCTTCCATCCGTCCTCTCTTTCCTTCCCTTAGGGGCTGCACGAAAAACGTGCTGCAGGTAAAGAGGTTACACTCCTAATGGGGGCACGTCAAAGACGAAGAGGGCGGTATCGAGGGTTTGGGATGTACGTGTTGAATGGCACGTGAGCAGGTAAGAGCGAACAATCTTAACATGATAGTGGCTGTTGCTGTTTTCGTTGCAATGGTGCTGGCTGCTGGCTGCTGGACGCCCCCCCTTGTGGGCGGGGTTAGTTGTCGCGAATTAGAGACAGCGGACTCGTGTGCCCCTGGTGGGCCGCCGCCGCCGCGACCATCGTCTCGGGGCCGCGACCATCGCCCCGACTTGGACTATTCCTGGCCGGGTACGGAAGCTTCGTGTCGTGTCGACGCGGCGGCGACCCCGCCACGGGTGTTCAAGGTTGAACGCCGCCAGAGACAGAATCCGCCCATATGAAACGATCCAGCGATTGGAAAGCCGCCCATCGTTCAAGGTTGAACGATCCGTGCGGTGTCGGAAACCAATGCCAGGCTCGTTACGACACAAACTTGCCGTGGTGATTCCTCGGTCTTATTGTTACCCCCGTTTCCAGTGCTAAAGGCGCGTGCGCGCGCCCGTCACCCGTTGATGCTCTTTGCCGGGCCTTCCTCCCCCCTCTGCTTACGCGGCCGCTCTCTGCTTTTCCAGCTCCGCAGGCGCGCTCGCGTCCGCCAGCGCTGCCAGCAAAAGAGTGTCCTCGATTTCGGCCTTCGTGGGCCCGTTTTGTCGGGCCCCGGGACCATCAACAACGGTTGGGATCCGTAGCCAGTTTGGCTCAAGGCTGGTCACTTGGGGCTGCCTGGGCGCCTCTTGGGGCCCTCCTGGGCCGCTCTTGGGAGCTTTAGGGGCGCTCTTGGGGCCATCTTGGAGAACATCGACCAAAAAGGAGGGGCGCTTCAATTAGCCTCCCCCCTCGGGAGAACGGAAAATCGCCTCCTGGACCCCTCTTGGAGCGATCCTGGGGCGCTCTGGGGGCCTTTTGGGGCCCTCTTCGGCCTTTTCTGGGGTTCTCTTGGGCCATCTTGGAGCCAGCTTGAGGCCTCGGATGGGCATTGGAAGCGAAAAGGCGAGAAAGCAAAAATCATTGATCGCCCTTCGGTTTTTGACAGATCTGGGGTTCTTGGGGGCTTCCTTGGAGGTCTCGGGCGCCTCTTGGAGCCGTCTTGGAATGGTATTGGGGCCTCTTGGATTATCTCGGGAGCCATTTTGAGGCATCGTGCGCTATCCTGAGCCATCTTGAAGCGCATCTTGGACTCGCAGGGGCCCTCTTGGAGCCGTCTGGGCCATCTTGGACGCTTCAACGCCTCGCGCCCCCCCCCCCCCGTCCAGGTCCAGAGGAGGCGGAAAGGGGGAGGGGTAAACCCCTCCCCGAAGGGGAAGAAGCGGGTTGGAAAAGGAAAAGCCATAGACCACTTACGCCCAGGGTGTTGGTGGGATTTATACAGACGCCGCGCCCTCGACACTCAGGAATCACGCTCTCGCTTTCGCCTTTGTCACGAATTACTTGGGAATCGCGCTATCGCTCGAGACTTCCTCGCGATTCATACAGGACTCACGCTTCAGCATCCCGCATGCTCGACCTGGCCGCCTGGGCCCACCTTGCCGACCCGCCCTCTAGGGTCTTCCCGCCAGATCTGCCCGTCTGGTTCTGCCACGGGTGTTGTGCTGCTAGCCCTCCTCTCATCTTGTTTCCTCCCCTTTCCATCCGTCCTCTCCTCTGCTGTTTTAGGGTCTGCGACAAGTGCACGTGGCAGGTAAGGAAGATCTACACCCCAAAGGGGTACGATCGAAGGCGAAGAGTGCGGGTACGGATACCGAGGGTTTGGGATATACGTGTTGGATGGCACGCGAGGAGGTAGGAGCGAACAGTCTTGAAGCAAGTGTTGTTGCTGTTGCTGCTGCTGTTGTTTGCATGGGCAACGGAGCAATGCCGATCCCCAGCAGGCTCGACGCATGGGTGCCGAACGTGTAACGATGCGCCGAAGAGGGGGAGGAGTAGAAGAAGAGAAAGGTTGGGGAGGAGAGGATGAGGAGGAGGAGGAGGAGGAGGAGGAGGAGGACGAGGAGGAGGAGGAGGAGGAGAAGGAGGAGGAGGAGGAGGAGGAGGAGGAGGAGGAGGAGGAGGGAGGAGGAGGAGGAAAACAAAGGAGCAGGAGTAGGAGTCACGCTGGGAGGGGTCGGCGCCTCCTCGGCCCGCCCGGGCGGCGCCGAGGACGCCGCCCTGGACGAGGGCGGCCGGGGCGACGGCAAGCCCATCAGCCGCCAGCGCGGCCTGACGGGCGTTGCCGCCGAGGCCCCCGCGGCATCTCCGTTGGAGAAAGAGGTGGAGGGAGGAGGAGGATGAAGATGAGGCGGTTGAGGAGGAGGAGGTCGAGGAAAGTGGAGGAGGAGAAGGAGAAGGTTGAGGAGGAGGTGAAGGAAGGAGGAAGGAGGAGGAGGAGGAGGAGGAGGATGAGGGTGAGGATGAGGGTGAAAGTGAGAGTGAGAGTGAGGGTGAGGGTGAGGATGAGGAAGAAGAAGAGGCAGAGGATGCTGATGATGGCGATGATGATGATAATGATGATGATGACGATGGTGATGATGATGGTGATGATGATGATGGTGGTGGTGATGGTGATGGTGATGGTGATGGTGATGGTGATGGTGATGGTGATGGTGATGGTGATGGTGATGGTGATGGTGATGGTGATGGTGATGTGATGATAATGGTAATGATAATGGAATGATGTTGGAATTAATGATGAGATGTGATGATGATGATGCTGATGATGATGATGCCTGCTGATGATGATGATGATGAGATGATTGCTGATGATGATTGATGCTGATGTGATGATGATGATTGAGGATGAGATGCTGAGTGATGAGAGGATGCTGATGCTGATGAGATGATGATGATGGTGATGATGATTTGCTGCTGCTGCTGAGATGATGATGATGATGTAATGCTGATGATGATGATGATGATGATGGATGATGATGAGGGATGAGGATGATGATGATGATGATTGCTGATGATGATGATGATGATGATGATGATGATGATGATGTGATGATGATGATGATGATGATGATGAATGATGATGCGGAGGAGGATGGAGGAGGAGGAGGAGAGGAGGAGGCGGAGGAGGAGGAGGAGGAGGCGGAGGAGGAGCAGGGGGAGGGGGAGGGGGGGGAAGAGGAGGAGGAGGAGGAGGAGGAAGAGGAGGAAAGGGAGGAGGAGTTTGACGACGGCTGCGGCGACGGCGACGGCGGCGGCGACCAGACGCGGCCCAGCCCCGCGGCCAGGACGACCGGGCGCCCATCCCTCGGCGCGGCCGCCCGGAGCCCCCGCGGGTGGTCCTGGGCGACATCCCGCGCGGCGGCGACAGGCCAGCGCCCGAGCCGCCGTGCGCCGCCGTCGCCGCCGTTTTCGTCGCCGTCGCGGCCGAGCGACGCCGTTGGCGTCGCCGTCGCCCGTGTTGAATGTTCAGCTCCAGGGAGGGAGAGAGCAGGGAGGGAGACAAGAGGAGGGAGGAGGACGTTGTCGTCGCCGCCGTCGTCGCCGCCATCGTCGTCGTCGACGTCGCCGTTGGCGTCGCCGTCGCCCCCGTTGGACACCACTTCTAGACGATAGTTCTAGGTCTTCCAGATGGGGTCCGAGTAAATGGGGTCGGAGGATCGCGCTGCATCGCCGATGCATCGGGGATGGGGATGCGGCTCGATGTGGAGCCCGATGTTCTCCACGCCGACGTCACCGATGCCTCGTCGACGTCGCCGATGCATACGCATCGGTGATGCATCTGCAATGCGGCGCGATCCTCCGACCCCATCTACTTGGACGCCAGTTGGGAGGCCTCTATATTCACTACTAGGGAATGATTCCCCAAACAGTGTTTGCAATGAGTGGATCTCATTGATCTCACTAAGCAACTGGTTGAGTCCAGCGAGGTATCACCACTCTGCCGCCCGTTGCCGCCTCGTTGCCGCCTCGTGCGCTGGATGGGTCCAGCCAGATTCGCCACGGTGCCGCCACGTCGTCGCCTCGTGTGCTGGGTGGGTCCGTCGAGGTTTCGCCACCTTGCCGCCCGATGCCGTCTCGTGGCAACCACCAGCTTGCACACGTCGATTACACAACACAGCTTGCAGCACATAGCTTGTACCATATAGCTAACACATCCACAGAGCAATAACTTACTGCTTGGGGTCCACGCTGGCAAACATTATCGAAGACGCCTACGGCGAGTCACCGCCGCCTCCACCTTTTCTGAAACGCATAGGTGGCCGAACGTTGTGGCCAGAGTTCGACCAAGCTATCGGACTATGTGGTTCCCCAGCGGTTGTGGAAACCCTTCGGGGAAGACGTGGGGGAGAAAGAAGAAGAGGAGGCGAGGGAGGAAAAAGATGAAGTAGGTTTCTTGAGAGCCTCTTGGGGCACTTGGGGTCTCCTGGGAGCTTCTCGAGGGCCTCTTGGAGGCCCCGTGGAGGTTTCCTTAGGCATCTTGAGAACCTTTGAGGGCCTCTTGAGGGCCGATTCGGTCTTCTTAGGCCGTTCCTGGGCCGGTCGGACTTCGTCTTGGGGGCCACTTTGGGCTGTCTTGGGGCCTTCTTGGCGCGTTTCAGGGCCGTCTTGGAGGGAATCTTGGGCGTCTTGAAGGCCTCTTGGGCCCGCTTGGGGCCGTCTTGGGGGCCCTCTTGGGTTGTCTTGGGCCATCGTGGAGACGTCTTGGGCGCTCTGCGGCCGAGCTTGGCGGCTCATTGGCCCGTTTGGGGTCGTCGAGAGGCCGAAAAGAAGCAAGTGCCAAAAGTCTTCAAATACCTTTCTGGGAAATCAATGATTGTGGTCTCTTGTGGCCCTCCTGGAGGACCTCTTGGAGGCCTCTTGGACTGTCTTGGAGGCCTCTTGAGGGACTCTCAGGCCATCTCAAGGCCAGCTGAGGCCGTCTTGGGTGCATCTTGGACCGCCTGGGAGACATTGTATGTCCATCTTGGGCGCTCTTGGGGCCATGTTGGTAAGCCGTCTGCCCATCCCGCCACCGTGCCTGGGTTGTGTGTGTGTGTGTCTGAGGCCTCCTGGATGTTCGTTGGAGTCTCGTCGAGGCCTCTCGGGAGCTTCCTGGAGGCAGTGTAGAGGCCTTGGGGGGGGCTGTTTTGGAGCCTCTTGGGGGCCTGTTATGGGCCTTTGGGGGCTTTGAATGTGGGCCCTCTTAGGGGCCTCTCGGAGGCCTCTTGGGGCCTCCTGGGGGCCTCTGACGCTGGAAGGTTCTGATTTTCGGTTCGTGCTCCCCATCTTGGACCCCTATTGGGGTCGTCTTGGGGTCCTCTTGGGCCGTATTGGGCGCCCCTTGGGTCGTTTTAGGGCCCTCTCGGGGGCCTGTGGGACCGTCTCGGGGCGGTCTTGGGAGCCTCTTGGAACGTCTTGGAGCGCAGGAAGTTCAAAACGTGGAGGACCAAACGTTAAATAACCCAAAGGAAATCAAGGATGTTGACCTCTTGAAGCCCTCTTGGGAGGGCCATCGGAGGCCTTTGGGGACGTCTTGTATGCTTTTTCGGACCGATTGTTTGACGGCTCAGACTGGCTCTCGGCCAATCCACGAAGACCCACAGGAGAGCCCGGCGGGTGCCCGCTTCTCCCCTGCCTGTTCGCCGGGCTGCTATATGTGTGTTCCAGGGCCCATTCATTTTCCTCGGCGGCGACCATCGAGGAGCGTCCTGGATCACTTTGCGGAAAAGCTACGCACGAAGTCAAGGAGTGCACGGGGAGTGGACGTCCGAGCGATGGCAAGCATTGGCAGGCAACAAGTAAGCTTGCTGGCACCGCTTGCCTCGCTCCGGGAGGTCCTTCGCGTGCCCGCCGTAGTGAGCATTCGCCCTCCGCGGTCCGTAAGCGGTCCAATTCGCGGTGGCGCGCCCGGTCGTTCCTTCTTCCCTCCTGCTCCCTCCCTCCCGCCCTCCTTCATTTGCGCCTCTCTCTCTCCCTTCTCCCTCTTTACTCGCTCCTGCCTCCTCCCCCGATCGTTCTTCCCCTCCCCTTTGTCCTTCCTTCCATTTCCCTCTCTCGCTCTCTCTGTATCTCTCTCCTTGTCTCTCTTTTTTGTTTATTGATTCTCTCTCTCTCTCTCTATTTCGTGCTCCCTCGTTCCTCCTGTACGTCCCCCCCCCCTCATCCCTCTCGTTTCATTTCCTCCCTCTCCCTCCGCCCTTCCTTCAGGTCCCTCCCTTCCTCCTGCATTCTCCTGCAGCTGTAACTCACCGAGTCTGGACCACTTTGGGTCCCCGACCTTGAAGGCACACGAAGCCCGCTTTCAGAAATAGGAGGGTGGCAGGAGGAGAACAACACGGACAGTTGGCAGGCACTTCTGGCGTCCATGTAGTCCGTGCAGGTGGAATGGTTGACATTCGGGATGGGGGCCACGCCCGAGAACGATGAGGGGAATGGGACGACGACGGCGACTACGACTGTGGCGACAGCGGCGACGTCTGCGACGACGACGGCGATGGCGAAGGCGGGCAGATATGGCGAACATGGACAGTACCACTTCTTGTTCTCCGACCAAGACACCCCTGTTGGCGCTGCCCCTTCGTCGATGCAATGTTGGCTAACTCTCCTCTATTCGTGCCTGGGTCTCTCTCCTGCCTCCTCATCCGTCTGCGTTGCCATCGTGTGTATCTGCCTTTGCCCTCGGCCGTACTCGATGGTGCCCGTCCACCGCCTGCCCTTCCTCTCCTCACGCCCTTCCCCTCCGCGTGCCTCCGCGCAGGCAAGACGAGCAGCGACGCTCTCGCAGCCGAAGTGCCAGCAGGCAGCGGGCTCTGCCGAAGCGCGGTTCAGCGGCGCCAGCGCCGATGCATTCGGACGGTGCCGACGCCCGATCGCGACGTCGTCCGCTGCGACGCGAACGAGATGTCCGATTGTCTCGAGCACAGCCGAAGGCGAACCACAATCAGTTGTGCTGGTGCCTTCGCGAATGCTGAGGGGGGGCGGTCGACGCAACGTCCACAGCCTGGGCTCATCGCTGCTCGGCCAGTGCCTGAGCATAGACCTCATAAACTCTGCAGCGGCCCGCGGCTTGCGATGCCTCCACCAGCTGCAGCGGTGGGGCGTGAGGACCAGACAGCACCTGCAGCAGCTCTTGTGCGACGTCCGAGCTTCGCGGAGTGCACGTCCAGAGCACGTAAAGAGTGGGCGTTTGGTAATTTCGCTTGCTCGAGTGCCGCGAAGTTCTGTCGTATCGTTCAGCCCGCCCCAGGGCGCTGCTGGGGCCACGGGGGGGGGATGCGCCCCCCTTCGCTTCACCGCCGGGACCATCGTGCGAGTGTCCACGAGGGCAAGGAGCATTCACCGCGTGTCAGCACAAGTCCAAGCCAAGCTCGAATCCTGATGAGCATAGCAACAACGCGCCGTCCGTATACAATGTTCGCAGGCCTCTTGGTGGTTTCGTGGGGCCGTTTGGGGGTTTCTTGGGGGTCTCGTAGGGGCTTCTTGGGGGCCTCGTAGAGACTTCTTGGCCAACAGGTTATTTTGGAGTGTCTTCGGGGCCTTTGGGGACCTTTTGGAGGCCTCGTGGGGCATCTTGGGAGCCACTGCCGCTTGAATGTGATGCCTCTCGCTTCGCGGGGTGCACGTCTGCAGTACGAAAAGATTGGGCGTTGGGTGGTTTGCCCTGCTTGTCTGGCGCGAAGTTCTGCCGTGTCGATCTGCCCGTCCCGCTGCCAGTGCCACGGGTGGCGGATGCGTCCACCCCCCCCGTTTCAGCGCCGGGACGAGCGTGCGAAAACGCCAAGTTCAAATTCCAATGGGCATAGCTACTACGCGCCATTCGTGTACAATTATGCGGGAGTCTTTCTGGTTTCGTGGGGCCGTTTGGAGGTTTCTTGGGAGCTTCTTGGAGTCTTCTTGGGGGCTCCCCAGGAGCCTTTTTGGGGCCTCGTGGGCCTTTTGGGGGGCCTCGAGAGCCGTCTTGGGGCGCGCTTGCGCCGTCTGGCCCCCTCGGAGGCCGTCCTGGGGGCCTCTCGAGGCCGCCTTGTGGTTCTCTACAGCTTACACCACTTAGCTTGCACGACCTAGCTTTCACCACGCATATTGCACCACATATCCTGTACCACAACTTGCACCACACAGTTGCACCACATAGTTTTCACATCCACGGTGCAATAAGTTACAGTTTGGCGTGCATGGTGGCTAACATACTGAATAAAGATCGAAGGTTGTTGGGGGTTGAGGAAGAGGAGGAACAGGAGGAGGGTGAAGAGGAGGGGCAGGATGAGAGTGGAAAAGCACGGAATCTGGAGCGGGAGCTGAGGAGAGGGAGGAGGATGACGAGGAAGAACAGGGTGGGGAAGAGGAGGAGGATGGGAAGAGGAGGGGGAGGAGGAGGAGGACCAGTGTAAACCCAAGAGTCATCAACGATGTTGGAAGAAACCCTCCCTCCAAGCTCTCTCTTCATAGGTCCCTACAACGGTTCATGTCCACTGAATTAACTGCTCCGTTGAAGACAACCGTTTGAAGACCCTGAAGCATGCCAAAACATCCGTCTCGGAATTCCAACGCCACGGATCAACATGATTGTTGCGTCTTGACGATCCTGAATCTTGCCAGCAAAATTCCTGGAACTTCAACGCCGCGAGTCAACGTAACTGTTGCACCCTCATAATCCTGAGCCCTTCCAAAACACTATTTCTGGTGCGGTGATCATGGAAATCCGTGAACAAAAGAAACGAATGTGCGCGGCGCTAAGGCGAGAGCCACATTTTGAAAAGGACTCACCCTCAATCCGTGAAGCTCTTGCAAAGTTTTTTAAAAATGTGCGCTGCGCTAAGGCGAGAACCACATTTTGAAAAGGAACCGCCCTCAATGCAAAAATTGAAAGAGAGTGTCCGCCGCGCTACCGCGAGAGCCACATTTTGAAAACGACTCGCCTTCAATCCGCGAAACCCTTGCAACTGTTCCAAACGAATGTGCGCGGCGCTAAGGCGAGAGCCACATTTTGAAAACGATCCGCCATCCATCTGTGAAGCTGTTGTCAATGTTCAAGCTGCAGGGTCATGAATGGTGGGGAAGTCTCAGGCAAAACGCCTGGCCCGCGGTAAAATCTGGCCTCGGGGTGCGACAAGGAGAAGTTACTTATAAGTAGAAGGAATGGAGGAGGAGGAGGAGGAGGAGGAGGAGGAGGAGGAGGAGGGAAAGGGGGAGGGGCAGGAGGAGGAGGAGGCTCCATAGCTAGAGACCAGCTGTATATCGAACGTCCGCGGGCGCTTTTTCCGCCAGCACCCGTTGGCGCCGCCTCTCTGCGAAGATTCACGGGGTACAGCGACGGCCAGAAAGCCGCCCGCGGACGTCCGGCAGTGTTTGACGATGCTCTTTTCGGATTGCGCGTGTCCGCAGCCATTTTTCGGCTCGAACGGGTCCTGCATGCCTGGATCCGTTCCGTTCCTGGCCCAGCATGGCGCAGGGTCGGAGCGGCCTGACACGCCTGCATTCGCTGCGACAGGCCTGCGACCGCGCCAACGACGAGGCGTGTGCGCGCTTCTCTCAGCAGCTGCAGGTCTCGGAGCACTCCATCCTGACCGCCTGGGCGACCCCGCACAGGGAGCACTTCGAGGTGCTGGCGTGGTCGCGCGAGCCGACTCCGCCGCAGGAGGACGACCAGGACGCTCGCGCCGCCGCCGCTGGGGGCGCGCGCCAGCGATTCGCGGCCCGTGCGCCGCTGCCGCGCGTGGCCGTGCCGGAGTGGCTGCGCAGCCCCTGCCTGGTCGCGGCCCTGGGGTGCGCCGGCTGGGGCGGCCGCCGAGCGCCGCCGCCGGCCGCCACGGCCCGCAGGCTGGCCCGCCGGCCGGCGCCGGGGCCGATCACCGAGCGCTGGAGGGGCACCCTGCTCGAGATGAGGCTCGGCAACTCCAAGACTCCAGGCTCAAGTCGGACACGTCCCTCTCTACAGGGCGGAGTGATCTCGGAGCGGCAGGCGGCATGGCCGGGTGACGGTTTGTCGTGCTCTCTTTTGGCTGTGTGTGAGAGTGTGTGTTGCCCATGTCCCATTTTTCTTCCGCCTGTAGAAGGACATGCCCGACCCAATTCCAGGCCTCCTAGACAGAGTCAGAGCAGATGGGGTCGGAGGATCACGCTGCATCGTTCATGCTTCGGCGATGCGGCTCGATGTGGAGCCCGACTGTCTCCACGCGGGCGTCGCCGATGCGTCGACGATGTCGCCGATGTATTGGCCATGCAGCGCGATCCTCCGTCCCCATCTACTTCGACCCCATCTAGGAGGCCTCGAGCGACTTGCGAGGGGGGGGATAGTGAGAAGGAGAACGCCTCTCTTCCAAGCCTGGTGAGAAGGCCCGCCCCATTCCCAGACCCCCGACGTCGCGATTTTTTCACAACGTCCATCCCAAGAAGTCCGGACCCCTTCCCCAGGACTGGTTTTTCACCCTTCGTCATTTTTTGACGGTCCCAGGGCCCGGTAAGGCCCGGAAGGGCCCCCGGAGGCCGAAGCTAACGAAAAACCTCCTGTCGTAATTTCTCACCACGCGAGGGGGTCTGAGTTCCCACGTCCCCCCGGGCTCGCCGCCGAGAGGCACAAGTGGGACGCCTCCCTCGCGATGTCTAAGGACCCGCGTCCGCCCGGCGGAGATCCTGCCCAGGCGACTCTAGGCGGCAACAGGGCGTGTGCGCTTCTCCCTCGCCAGGGCCTTCTGAAGCCACCCTCCTCCTTCTCCTCTTCCTCCTCCCCCTCCTCCTCCTCCTCCTCCTCCTCCTCCTCCTCCTCCTCCTCCTCCTCCTCCTCCTCTCCTTCTCCTTATAAATGACTTCTCCCTGTCGCACCCCGAGGCAAGTTTTTAGGGCGGGCCGGGCGTTTCGCCTGAGACTTCCTCACCGTTTATGACCCTGAAGCTTTTAATACTGTTCTTTTTTTTCTAGTTTCTTCTTCTTTGCATTTTTTTTTTTTTTATGTTTTTTCTTTTTTCTTGTCTTTTTCATCTTATTTTTTCGTTTTGTCTTTTGTTGTTTTTTCAGTTTTTCTTTTTTCTTTTTTCTGTTTCTTTCAAACATATCCTTTTTTTTCTCTTTTTCTATTTTCTTTTTTTTTTTTTTTTGTTTCTCTCCTTTTTCTTTTTTTTATCTCTTTCTTTTTGTTGTTTTTAGGGCGGGCAGTTTCACAGATGGAGGGCAGGTCGTTTTCAAAATGTGGTTTTCGCATTAGCGCCGCGCACATTTGTTTTAAACATTGGCAAGAGTTTCACGGATTGAAGGCGAATGGGTTGCAAACATGTGGTTCTCGCCGTAGCGCCGCGCACATTCGTTGTAACATTTGCAAGAGTTTCACGGATTGCGGGCGGTTCCTTTTCAAAATGTGGATCTTGTTTCAGCGCCACGCACATTAATATTACAAATTTCGATAGAGTTTCACGAATTCCCATGATCAGCGTACCAGAAATAGCGTTCTGGAAGGATTCAGAATTATGAGGGCGCAACATACGTTGATTCGCGGTGTTGAAGTCCCAGGAATTGCGTTCTGGCACGATTCAGGATCGTCAAGACGCAACAGTCATGTTGATCCGTGGCGTTGGAATCCCGAGAGGGATGTTTTGGCATGCTTCAGGGTCTTCAAACGATTGTCCTCAACGGGGCAGTTAATTCAGTGGAGATGAACCGTAGTAGGGACATGTGAAGAGGGCGCTTGGAGGGAGGGTTTCTTCCAACATCGTTGATGACTCTTGGGTTTACACAAGGCCTCCTCCTCCTCCTCCCCCTCCTCCCACTTCTCCCCCTCCTCCCCCTTCTCCTCCTCCTCCTTCTCCTCCA